TTTTAAACTGATTAATTACCGAAATAACATCAACACTGTGGGCGGCGCCATTTTACCGGACGTGACGTACACCATGCGTTTGGTTTCGAGGACACGTTGATGTTCATGTTATTTACTGTAGTTACTCTCTTCAAATATGCCTCATTGTATCGCGAAACATTGCCACAATTCTGATAGGAACAATCCACGGAATGCTCGGTTCCATCTGTTGCCAAAAGGTAAGCGTAGGAAGTACGTTCGGAGGCAGTGGCTAGCGAAATGTGGCCGGCCCGAACCGAAAGATCCACAGGCATGTATGCAGTAGTGATGGCAAAATGAAGCTTTGAATGAAGCGTCGAACCACTTGGACAATTGTGTCGGAAATAGGTTCATTTCTCGAAGCTTCAGTTACAGCGACCTCTCCTGGCGAAGTGCAAGGCTGCAGTGGGTTTAACGTATCTTTGTCTTGAAAAATATTCGATGCACACACACAGAAAGACTGAATATCATGTTCTATTTTCAATTAAAGATTGATAATTGTGTGTATTGGGTTATTGAGAAGAGACTAGAGAGTGCTAGACATGTTTTTGGGCGGAGAGGGCCTTTTATCAGTTATTAAAGTTGAAAAGCAATGATTAAAATACGTCCATTCCGGGATTTGAACCAGCTGCGCGGAGGACATCGCCGCATTTGGGCCGCCGGCTCTATCCACTGGGCTATCTATTCCTTGAAATATTTAACTGTTTTCATATTACTGATAATTGTCTTTTTGTTCACAACTTCTCCACATTTCGAAGTGTTTCCCGAGCCAGAACGACCTATCTTACTTCCTGGCTTGCTCTATAATCAGTGCTGGAATTGGGCCGGTACTCACCGGTACACAGTACCGGCACTTCCGGTTCTGACCCATGGAGTACCGGCACTTCTTGCTCAGTACCGGCATGCTGGCGGTACTCCGGTACTCATGCACCGTGCCAGTACTCAACACTCTCCCGCCGTTCTTATTATACATCCATATATATATATATACAGCCGCCCGGTACTCAGTAGATGCGTCATGAGGTGCCGAACGGACATCTCATCGCTCTAACCGCTGGAGTTTCACAGCGGCTGTCAGCTGTTTACTCCTGTCATTCAAACAGAACGTGCTGGAGAGGGGGCGGGGCTTATCTTCTCCATGTAAATACTGTGGTGGAAACGACTATGTCAAAATTAACCTATTTGACCGTGATTTAATAGTAATACACGTTTCAAAATAATAATAATAATAATGCCGAAGTAACAACATACTGAAAACTGTTAGTAAAACCATGTTTTAATGCTTTACAATTTACATACCTAGATGCACGTGTGTTGTGTTTATGCAGTGCAACTCCCACCCAGTGGGTGGCTATGTAGAGTGATAGAACAGAGCAGGCACGCCCCCGAGAGAAGGAAAGCAATCACGTCACAAATTAGCATTTCTAAAATGTTAGCGTGGATTAATAAAAGTGCAAAAAGACAGCGGTTGTCGCCGGAAGAAACTTCAAATACAGAGAATGCTGTGCCTGTGTTGGAAATTGTGTCTGATGGGGAGCTTTCTTTGGTTGATCCTCCTGCTCCAAGTTCTAGTGCATTAGCATTAGCACTAGCTCCGCCGCCTCCTCCAGAGCCTCTAACGTTAGCTGCTGCTGGCGCAACTGCCACCACCAAAACCGGGCAAAGCGATGCACCTGACTGCTGGACAACGGACCAGGTGCAATATTTTTGCAAGACCAATGCATGGCTCCTTCTTAAAGATAAGAAGCTAGGATGTCGGATATGCAGAGATGTCAAATCTTTGGGAATACACACTGGACAAGGACTGAAACTGTCAACTGAATGGGGTGAGTGTGCAGTGTCTCATTTCGGTGTTGACAAGGGCAAACAACAAGCTAGCCTGAGAAAAAAAATCAAAGAACATAAAGAATCACAAGCCCATGTAAAAGCTGCTGACATCCTTACATCTGCTTCACGTGAAACTATTCAACATCAAGTGCAGTCTATGCATAAATCTGAATTAGACACCACTATCAGAGTTTTTCGAACGGCATATAAAATTGGCAAACATAGCCGGCCATTCACAGACATGCCATTGATTTGAATGTACAGAAACTGAATGGGCTGAACGTGGGCAGGGTTTTGCACTCCAATAAAACCTGTGGCGAAATCATCGACCACATAGCTCATGAGCTGAAGAAAAAAATGGCAAAAGACATTACAGAAAACCAAAGAAAACTCTGTGTTTTGGTCGATGAATCTACCACTATTAGTGGTAAAACGGTGCTTGTTGTGTGTCTACGCTCAGCATTAGCTGATGCTGAGCCCGAAACGTTTTTTTGGGAGCTGATCGAGTTGGATGGAACAACGGCTGATGACATCACAAAGGCGTTAATGGAGTGTCTTGGAAGAGATTTTAACGAGGACTTTTTAGGTCAGTGTTTCGTTTCTTTTGCATGTGATGGGGCTTCAGTCATGCTAGGGAAGAGAACAGGCGTTGCTACCCAGTTGTGTAGTAAATTCCCAAGCCTGTTTGTGTGGCACTGCTCCAATCATCGTCTAGAGCTGGCAGTTGGGGATGTGGTCAAGGAGGTCTCAGGGCTCAATCATTTCCAGATCTTTTTTGACAAACTCTATTCCTTGTTCCATGCCTCCCCCAAAAATCAGAGGCAGTTAGCGCAGTGTGCGCAAGCAGTCGGACAGCGTCTCCTGGTGATAGGGCGTGTTTTGTCCATCCGCTGGGTGGCTTCAAGTGAAAGGAGCGTCAGAGCAGTCTGGGAAAAACTACCGAGTGCTTCATGATCACTTCACAAATGCTGCAAACGACACGAGCAGGGATTCCAGAGACAGAGCAAAGTACAAGGGCCTGGATGATGTGCTCACATCTGCAACGTTTGTCAGCAATCTGGGACTGATGTACGATGCGCTCACAGAGCTCAGCGACCTCTCTCGGCAACTCCAAAAAAAGAGAGATGACACTGCCTACAGCAGATAGGCTCTTAACTCGAGAAATACGAGTTTTTGAATCCATGGTCACCATGCCTGGCCCACACATGACTACAGTTCATACAGCTCTAGCTGAGAAGTCCTTCAAGGGTGTTGCCCTGCGTGAGAATGGCAGGCTTTTACAGATTCATGCAGGTCAGTTTTTCCGCAGTATGGTAGAGAATCTGAGACACAGAATGACTTCCACAACCTCCTCTCATGTCAGCACAAGAGAAATCCCATTACATGGCCGGGAGGCCCGGGACAATCAGCTAATCCAGGACATGAAAGTTATCCATCCTGGAAGTTGGCCTGAAGAGGAGTTAGACGTACAGTATGGGGACGTAGAGGTGCTACGTTTGTGCGAAGTGCTGAAAGTGGACAGAAGAGAGACTGTTCAGGGCTTTCGCGAATACAAGGAAACCAGGGCATCCCGTACACCTGCTGCCATGGAGCCTCTACTGAAAGCAGTCCGAACCATCGCTGTCTCCACTAGTGAGTGTGAGCGGGCAATCAGCTGCATGAACGATATCCTTACTGCAAAAAGGAATGCTCTCTCTGTCAGTCGACTGTCCAGCCTGGTTTTCATTAAATGTAATGGACCATCACTAGGACAGTTCAATCCGGAACAGTATGTGAGGTCCTGGCTGGCAAAGGGAAGGAGAAGTGCTGATGAAAGAGCGTGTCCAGCTCCAGCCCCTGATACTGATGTCCACAAGGCCTTCTGGAGCCTTTTCTAACAATGTGAAGTATATTGCAAAGCAGCTCACCCAGTGAGAAGACTTTTGGCATAATGTGCCGATTTGTACAGATCCTGGAGATAGAAGGACTTCAGACCAACCAGGGAGTTATCTGATCAGCTTGGTGTTCAATGTAACTCTTTACCATGGCTCAGACTTTGTTACTTGCAGTTACAGTTTCTCATTTTAGATTGTGCAAATTTTGCATTTGTTTTACATGTTCTTTGTTCATGCTCTTTATCATTTTTCTGAGTTGGAAAGTTAGATTGCATCATAGTTTACTTTATACATATTTGTATTCTTCAGTGGTGAAGTATATTGCAAAGCAGCTCAGCCATGTGAGAAGACTTTTGGCACTTTTTCGTTTTTCGTTTTCTGAGTTGGAAAGTTAGATTGCATTCAAAATGTACAGAAATACTTAATTTTGTTAAAGCTTTTTATAAAAAATGCTTCTGACCAGAGCTTTGTTTCCTTGTCATTAATGTTGAACACCACCAGAGGGGCTCTCACCTGAAAGGTCTCTGCTTCATGTGTCTTCAGCAGAAGATCTAGACTTTGATTGCTATATTTTCAGTTAATATTGACCTTACTGAGCTTTAGCCATATCCGCTGCCTATCATAAAAAATGTTAAGTACAGTGAACCTTTCTAAAATATACAGTAGTAAAGAGACAAACCCACCAGCATTATAGTAGCCAAATTCTTGTTTGTGGGCTGTATATATAAAATTGACTTGAAAAAGTTGCTGATTTTAGAGTACTGGCACCTTTTTCATTCCAATTCAAGCACTGTCTATAATGATATCAAATGCAATAACAACAACAACTCAACAGCAACAACGCAAACTACGACAACAACCCACACATTGTGCATTGTTTAGAGCGGTCATAAAGTGTTGAAGCACTCAAGTTTGAAACTGTTTCAACCTGTCACCTGTCAGAATCGAGACGAGGCAGTGCATTGAATCGCGTGAATGGACCGTGAACCAGTCAAGTGATTCATTCAAGGAAATGAAGCAGTTGCTGCTTCGGACGTCACATGTCACGTGATTTGAAGCAGTTGCTGCTTCGGACGTCATATGTCACGTGATTTGAAGCAAGCTTCGAAGCACTGCTTCTATGGAATAGGAAGTCCAGGGTTGAAGCTCCGTTCGAAGCTTCAGTGTCAAACGGCCATCACTAGTATGCAGCGAACATTTCAAGTTTCCGGACGACTACTCTGAGAGTATGATAAAACATAACATGGGATTTATTGAACAACCATTACTTAATGGAGATGCAGTACCATCGGTCTTTCTGGTGTCATCACCGACCAGGACACCAGTTCGGCCAGTTGAGAAATCGCCCTCTGCAAGTGTGAAGCGACGGAGGACCAGAAGTAGTGCTCGGAGTAAGAATAAGGTATGTTATGGCGCATTTCCATTGCAGCGGGTAGCCCCGTTTAAACGTCCTTTATCGTCCAGGCCAGGCCAGTTTTTGGTGGCCTTTCCATATAGCGTAGTACAGGCTAGTGGGTATTTCCCCCCAGTTTTTCCGGCCCCATAAAATCGTGGTTCTAGGGCCAGGGACAACGAGGCTGAGTATGCTAAACTAGAGAGGGAATCGCTAGCAAGGGTGGTACTACATGCATACATATCTAGTAATCAAAATCATTGTATCTACTAAGTAGTACTAAGTAGGCTCAAACCTGTATGGCTGAATTCCCCCTTCCAGTCTCTTCATATTGCTCAAAACTTCGCCATGTTTTCGTGTGTTTACAAAGTGAACGCATGGATGACGTCACGACCATCACGTGACTACTGAAAATGGGCAAAATGGCAGCGGCCTGACGGAATATACAGGTTTTGATACAAAAAAAGAGCTATAAAATCATTATTTACCGGGGAATATCGCTGATTTCTTCAGGGTATGGTTTAAACATAATGTTTCACTAAATACTGAAGTTTTGATTAATTATCTAATGAGTGGAGCATTCCTTTAAACGATTTTTGGTCGAGCCAAAGTGCTGTACATATAATAAAAATACCCTACAGTAAAGACACTGTACAGCTAATACAACAGCACAGTTTGTTCAGAATATCAGTATGAGAAAACGACACCCTCTATCCTTAGACCCTCACATCGTACAAGGAAAAACTTCCGGAATAAATAACAATGGTATGAGGAATTTAAAGATAAGATCTCCAGCCTGGGGTTTGCTTTTAAACTGAATGTCCTGTTTTTCTTGTGAAGAATTCTTGTGAGTATATTACTCACACATGCAGAGCTGCGGTGAAGGGACAGGTGTACGCTTCTCATGTGGAATGCACACATGGTGCAGATAGCAACAGCTTTAATAGGAAGTCACAGTGTTAGATCATATTTCACAGTTGTCGTGGCCGAGTGGTTAAGGCGATGGACTAGAAATCCATTGGGGTCTCCCCGCGCAGGTTCGAATCCTGCCGACAACGGCACAAACCTTTTCCAGCTGACACGAACTGTTAAAGGCTTTGTGTCAGCTGGAAATGTGACAGGCTTTATCTTTGGGTAGTGATTAGGATTGCTCAGAGTGACTGAATACCAGAGAGGTTACTTCCTATCTGTAATCTGTTAACAGAAGTTTAAAAAACACATTTAGACAACTCAGTTTTCTTCATACCCAGAAGATAGTCCTGCTTTGGCATTTACTGATGGGTTTTGTGAACGAGTTAGAGGAAATACATCAAAGTATATCAATGTTTCTATCAACATGATTTAGTCCCACTTTGAGCCACATACTGTAGAGTGCTGTCAGAATAGTTTCTGTTTTATGATGTCAGCTCCAGCCACACACTTGATAAAATAAAAGTAAGGATTAAATAACCTGGAGCAAAATAATCCTGGCTCTTAGCAGCTATAAAGCACTTGTGGTTACCACCTTTTCTGAAGTGTCTTCTCTCTGATGTATTTTTACCCGGCATTGACTGAGTCAAATGTTTGGCTTTCTGTTCTTTATATTTCTTTTGAATCTGCATTTTTTTTTTTAACAGGGGAGACATGCTAAACTGCTGTTCAAAAACTAGGTACTAACATTTATGTCCAAAAAAGAAATGTATGTCCAAAGAACAGTGAGGTCAGGCTTTAGAATAATGATATGACAACAACATGAATGCACACAAACAAGCCAGCCTTGAAAGTGATTTTATATAATGTTGAAAGGTATTGTATGATTTTTTTTGTGCACAGAGATAGGCTACTTATTTCCCAGAAAGTCTAGTTAGTTTGGGTCTGTGTGTGTGGGTGCTGTGCATGCTACTGTCAGGACAGGATAGAGAGTGTTTATATACCCAAAACTCTGACGTCGTATTTGACTTCCTTCTCTCCAGCGATGCTCGTAGCCACGCAGACGTAACGTCCCGAGTCTGACACCGTGGCTGAAAGGATTTCTATTTTACTCCCCTGCTCGAGAAGACGGACGCTTTCACCATCGCGCACAGGAACTCCGTCCTTCAGCCATGTGAGAGAGGGGGGAGGGTGTCCCCCAGCCTCACACTCCAGAATCAGAGGCTTACTGAGAACCACTTTCCTCTCAGTTGGCCCGTCCTCACCCCCAGCAATGGTAGGAGGCACTGGGGGGGGGGAAAGAACATTAAAAAGGGAACAGAACAAAAGAAGGGTTAAGGCTTCAAATACTTTTTCTGCTTAACTGATGTCTTATTTACATCTCACACTCAAGGCTTTCAAAAGCCAACTACATGTACAATTGCTTTATGCATCAAGTCCTGTAGTCTGTATCCATTGTTGTGCTCCTAGAAGATCAAGGATTTTATTTTCGCATTTAATTGTTTGCCAAATATGCACAGCTGTTTGAAATTATTCTTGCCTGTTGCAAAGGTCTTTATGGTTTGTGATTGAAACCAAATGCCTTAAAGCCTTGAAAATCTGATTTAATGTCACAATGTGCTCTCGATTTTTTTAACTCACATGGTAAATATTAACTTCTAAAAGCCTTTTGTTTTAGGTAGACAAAAAAAGACACAGAGAAAAACAAATATGTGTATAGATTATAAGATGTCAGATGTGAAATTCTTACAGTAGACGTCCAGTACAAAGCTCTTCTCAGCGCTCCCGGCCACACTGGTCACCTTGCAGGTGAACAGGCCCGCATCTGATGCCTGCGCGCGGGGGAACTTCAGGTAGTGGCCCCGCTCGACGTACTGAACCTGTCTGTTGGACAGGATGGCCTCTCCGTTTCGATACCAGGTGATGGAAGGAAGCGGCACTCCGCGAGCCTCACACTCCAGTGTTACTGTCGTGTCCAGCAGGGCTGTGGCCTCTGTGGTGATGTTACCGCCTTTGATGGAGGGGGGCACTGGAACAATACCACAAAACTGTGTGAGTAAGCTGTATTTCGTCATGTGAGGTTACCAAATAAAGAGTAGGCTCTGCATATAAGTACATGACTGTGTAGTATGTGTCAAAACTCACCATAAACACTGACGTTAATTTCCTTGGATTGTTTGCCGGCTGTATTCATGGCACTACACTGGTAGCGGGCCTTGTCTCCAAGACGAGCACTCTTTATCTTCAAAACCTGACCCCTGTTGGTGACCTCCAGGTTTGGATCACCAAGGAACACCAGCCTAGAAACAGATGTTTTAACTGTTTTTCAACTCATTTGACCATTGTTACCATAATAGTGAATGATATATTATTGGAAGGCACTTACTTCCTGTCCTTGTACCACTGGATTGCTGGAAAAGGTACACCTTGTACATTGCATTCAAGACTGATCTCCTGTTTTACAATGGCTGAAACATCTTGGGGAGAGGCTGACCCCACAATGGTTGGTGGAACTGGGGCGAATAAGATATTGTATGTTATAGATCTAATCCCAAATTACATTTGTGTATCAAGGTTTGTTCTGTCTGAAACTATGCAGACAGTGTTTTTTTCATTAGGAGTTTCCATAGACAATCACTCAATGTCATAACTCACCCAGTATATCCAGGAAGAAGTCCTTTTCTGTGCTGCCAGCGATGTTTATCGCTTTACAGCTGTAGCTGCCTGCATCTGCTGTGGCTGCCTTGAGTAGTCTCAGGGATTTTCCCATGTCAAGAATCTGGATGGTGTTACTACCAACTACCTGTCATTCAATACAAATAAATAAATCAAACACAAAAGCAAAGACAACAGCATAAGTTACAATTTAGGAAATAGTGCCTGACAGTAATTATGGGGCTAATTGTAATACATCATGATAAAAGGATCTAAAAAAAAAAAGAAAAGCTGCTTGTAATTGAGGCATGAAAAACAAAATATGACTAAGAAAACATTAAAAGAAAACATGTTTCTATTACAGCTTGGAGCAAAAAACATTCAGAGAGCATATTGGATTGCTCAGAATTAGCTGATGAAAGTAAGTGCTCTGAATTTCCCTTCTGTGCCCAGCAGGAATCATGTGTGAAGCAGCCAAGGGAACAGAAAGCAGCCAGCAAATTAGACGTTACAACAAAGTGTGTGCTCACTCTCTGTTCTTGCATCAATTTATCATAATTATTCTGTCATGAATACTTTGATTGTGCTGCTACTATGGCTGGCTGATCAGGTCAGTTCTCTTGGACAGTGCACCCTGTAATCACAGTTTATTCTGTCTTTATGAGAATTTGTATTAAAAGATGACAGGTCATGAAAATGTCTGATTGCTGCTATAGTTTTGTGAGCCAAACCTTGTTGATTACTTACTCCGCCACAGTTCAATGGGCAAATAAAAGTATAAGGCAGCATACTTATACTTGAATAAACTTAATTTGCCCCAAAAACACAAAATATATGCATCTTTGATGTGTGTATTTACCTTTAAAAGTCCTAACATTTGAAAAAAACACAGAATCTCCTCAGTGTTGTAAATGACAACTGCAAACATTGTCAGTATGAAATGTGTGTTAACAGTTAGTAAATGGGACTTCACTTACAGGAGTCCCATCCTTGTACCAGGTGATGACAGGGGTCGGACTTCCTATGACATCACACACCAAGCTGGTGGACTGACTCAGGACCAGGGACACGTTGCCTGGTGTTTCCCCGTCACGGATAAGTGGGGGCACTGTGGAGGTGTCAATGAGGAGTTTTGAGCATTAGTTTCCAAGAGATGAAATGTATGCAAGGCATGAGATAGAAGTAATACTTCATTTATGGATCAGCAAATAAATTAAAAAGGTTTTTAAAAAGTCAGAGGTCAGAAGAATAGAGAACTGGTCACCGTTAACTTTGAGCTGGTACTTCCTCTCAGTGGATCCAGCATCATTGACCGCAGCACAGACGTACTCTCCGTTGTCCATTGGCGACACAGAGGCCAGAATCAGCAGCGTACCGTCTTCCAGGATGGACACGCCGGGCTCATTACCTGACAACTCCTGGCCATTACGCATCCATCGGATCACTGGCTTAGGAAGGCCTGAGAGAGTGAAGAAGCATAACAATGAAAACAAATTAATTTTAAGTAACTATATTGTGTGTTTTACTAGACAAAGTCCACAGCATTTGTAAATAAAAGTGTATACTTTAATCAAAAATAACTTTTAATAGCAGTGTAGGTATGTTTTGTTCCTGCAACAACAACAAAATAATTATCAATCTACTTCTTGTTTAGAATATAAATTACCTTTGGCAGGGCAGGGGAATGCGATTCGCTGGTTTGCAACTCTCTCCTGCAGCGGACTATTGAAGGGCGGCTCCAATATCTCGACCACAGGGGGTACTGGAAACCGACAATCACATAATCAATGACAAATGTATACTGCAAAATATATTTTAACACACTATAAAGCACCTTCAACAGTTGTAGTATGCATCTTAGAAATATATATGCATTGAATAAGTCGCCATTCAAACAAAGAACTGCAAACTAAACTGAACTTGTGGTACATTGTGTCTTATTTCAACATGTTTACAATACAGTCATTATTTATAATAATTTCAATTTAGAATTGCTTAAAAAATACTGTCATGAAAAAAAAGTACAAAATATGATGTGATGTTTCTGAAACATTTCAACACACATAAACATAATGAACACAGTGCGAGCACGTTAGTTGAAGGACATGAATTGGATCCTACCTTGCACCAGCAGCCGGACTCGGGCCTCGGCCCTGCCTGCGGTGTTGGTGGCTATGCAGGTGTAGGTCCCTTCGTCAGCCAGACCCACGTTTCTAAAAGCCAGGCTGCCATCAGGTGAGACTTGGAACCTCTGATCATCTCTTGTCCAGGTGAGGGTGGGCTCCGGGACCCCTCTCACCATGCAGGGCAGCTCCACAGGGTACCCCATCTGAACCTTCATTACCCTGGGGCCAGCCTGGATACTAGGGGGCACTGCAGGACAGAGGACCAGATTTAATAAGGTTTAGAGGGAGTTATGTTGCCCTGGATGTAAAGATTGTATAGTTTATGTTCTACTGTCATTCAGAAGAACATCATGTTATCCCAATGACAGTATGTCTTTACTGCAACTTCCTCAACTCTCTTGGCTTATGTGTGATTATTGAATAGGTTGTTTTTAAGAATTCCAAATGATTGCATTACGTTAGATCATGTGATGTTCTTTTGAGGGGCCATAGAGTGCCTTTATTTATAGATATAGCATTAAAAGGGGGGAGACAGAGGGGAGGAAATTGCCTTATATTATTTTGAGCCAGTGTCGAACCTGTAAAGGGCAGCTGATACAGTATATGGGCCGCCAACCCGTCCTTAGAACAAATAGCCTTAGACAAACTCAAATCAGTGCATTCATAACATAATAAAGGTTATACCACTGTTCAGTAACCCTCAATAACATCAATATTAAACCTTTGCTAGAAATTCTGATCTCTGAACTTACCCAAAACACTCAGATCAATGAATGTTGTCAGGTTGCCAGCAATATTCGAGGCAACACACACATAAAGCCCACTGTCTGACACTCTGGTCTCCAAGATCTTCATAGAGCCCGAGGAAAGCTGAGTGTGCCTGTGAGGAGCACAATCAGAAACAGAAATAAACTAAACTGCAAAGTGAAAAATTGCTTCATTACTAGACCTCAGCAGTGCACATGGTGTTGTTGGATTATCTTTCAAAAGAATCAGTGCTGTTTTCTGTATGTGTTACCGGGGAGAGAAAGGGGAGATGAGCTGCCTCTCCTTCGCCCAGCTGATGGTGGGAGGGGGGACACTGTGGACCTCACATAGCAGAATGGCGTCCTCACCCTCAACCACCATCATTGGCTCAGCTGAGCCTCCAGCACCACCAACACCGGATCTAGGACGGACTACACACATATAGACAAAACAGCAACTCAATTCAAAGGCCTTAGATTAATGTGACACAACATATGAGATGCAAACAAAGAGGGTTAATTACAAAAGAAAAAAACAACAAATATTTGTTAAAATTGGCTCTTGTTGAGTTGAGTGTGTTATATAGTTCCTTTATTCAGTACGAAATTTGCCATAGCTCATTGTGCATTTATGTGCTCACTGCTTTTACATATCCAAAAATACAAAGTCATACAACGCAGTAAACATGGACAGTTTAACTGTGAGGAAAGTGGTAAAATTACTTTTTCCGCACCTATAGAGCCATGGAAAATGGGTGTGAGTGAGAGCAGTTCATGTTCAGAAGTTTGGCCTTAAGAATCTATAGGAATGGGCATTTACTACATTGGACCTGCGCCTGGACATGGTAAACTACAATTAAGTTGAAAACAATTATCCAAAATTAAGAATAGCTGTTTAGTTGTGTCAAACATCTATCCTTTATTAGTGGAGTCACTTTTTTTTGTAAAATCTGACATGAGTTTTACCATAGACTGTGAGCTGGACCTTCCTGGCTGCATGGCCTGCAGCGTTGGTAGCTGTGCAGAGGAACTCTCCAGTCTCGTTTCCAGAGGGGGAGGTGATGAGGAGGCTGCCGTCAGAGTCCATGGAGAAGGCTGGACCACCCAAGTTCAGCAGCTCCCCACCCTACAAAAGAAACCACAGCAGGGAAAGGGCAGGGGCCGCGGTTTGTTTCATTAACTCAGCTTTATTAACACTCAAGATGGTGACCAGGAAACAGGAAGGCTGTGTGACCTACTAAGCGTTCTTAAATTGATTATTTGATTTTCTCTCTTCTACTTTTGAATGCAAAGGCTTTAAATAAAAGTGTTATAGTTTATACATTAAATAAACCAAAACACAAAGCAAATGTGACGTCAGTGCATCAGGATTTAATCATCTCTGCATTGTCCTAACTTAACTTGATTGATGTTATACAGAACAGCAAGGGAATCACATTTTAACAGCTGGTGCAAAACTTAGCAGGGTCTAGTTTTATATGTCCCTGCAGCCCTGTTCACTTTAAACGCATCACTTTTACAACTCAGAGAAACTAGTGAAAAATGGAAAAAAGGGAGGAACTGTCCATGAACACACATTTCACAGGGACTTATTCCCGGTGTGAACGCGATCTGCTCTTTAGTTCATCAGAACTAAAGAGTTCTGATGAACTAAGTACGGCAAAGTACTTGGTGTGAAAGCGCCTAATGGCTTACAGTCCACACTAACACACAAAAGTGCACATGTAAAGACGAAGAACACATCCTAATGCACAGAGGTAGAGCTAATTTCACAAGCATCCCAAGGCAAACACACATATCCTCACAGAGACACACAGAAATGTTCCTTGTATGTGCTATTGTCCTGCCAGAGCCCATCAATAAAGTAAGTATTGTACTAAAATATAAATAGAAACCCTGACTTTTGGCAACACAAGGGCCTGTTCTCTTGTAGTTCAAAAAGTAGATTCACATCTGGATTTTTTTAAAGTTGAGCTTATCTATGTCCAAGACTGCACAACTACACTCCACGAATACACATAGTAAATGTTTGGAATATTAATGAGCTGCACAACAGCATTCACTTAAAAGTAAATAGTATATTTGTGCAAGGATTTGTGATTCAAGACATCATATAATTCCTTTTTGACATGTGAAGCTGTCATTTAATCAATATTTCTATAGAATGTGAAGACATTGCCTACTTTGGAGAAGGAGCTTTACTAATGCTGCATTTTTGTGGAGTTCCAACTTGGGCAAAATAGACCAAATTGGATGAATAATGTACTTTCATGTGGTTTCACTCGTTCTCCCTTTGAATTTTGTTTCCATTTATGGAGAGAAATTAAGGTCTTTAGTTGCAGGAAATGAGAGCATCACCGCAATCACAGAACTGGCTCTTACTTTGGCCGACTTTCTACTAAGATTCATGCCAACACATACCTTGGCCCAGGTAATGTCAGGGGGGGGAACTCCCCTGGCACGGCAGGGCAGAGTGATGGGTGTGCCCTCAATTGTGTTGAACACCTGAGGGCCATACTGAATTGTAGGAATTACTGCAAACAGAAGAAGAAGAAGAAGAAGAAGAAGAAGAAGAAGAAGAAGAAGAAGAAGAAGAAGAAGAAGAAGAAGAAGAAGAAGAAGAAGAAGAAGAAGAAGAAGAAGAAGAAGAAGAAGAAGAAGAAGAAGAAGAAGAAGAAGAAGACGAAGAAGAAGAAGAAGAAGAGAAGAAGAAGAAGAAGAAGAAGAGAAGAAGAAGAAGAAGAAGAAGAAGAAGAAATATACAGTAGGTTAATATTTTTTTGTGAATGTTCATGTGTTTAGCTCTTCTGTGTGTTTTTCTGTGT